GGGAATTAGTTTGCTGCAAATGCATATATAGTATATTCTGGAGATACAGAATTAAATTGTAAAGGTACATAATTTCAGTGTTTAAGAGCAGAAATGCCCAATTTTCAGTATTATGTGAAAAAATTATATGAATTACTCAAAGCAGCAATATATAACCATCTGTATTAACTGTATTTCTAAAATGCATGGAAAAGGGCAGAAACGGCAAAGAATAATCAACGAGAGAAACATCTGCTATCTAACTGCAGTATTTCTCCTGCAATCTGCTTTGAGACTCAAAAAGCTGGAAAATATCAAGAGGGCATCTAGCCTGCATATACACTCACATGCCACTTTCAAAGATCTCTTTTTAGATCTCTACTATAGCTTGTTCTTATCTTATTTCTCTTCACCTACAGTCTAGGACTAATTCCTTTTATCTATCAATGAAGATAATGAATCACTACATCCCTAATACATACTTTTACATGCTTGGAAATCTTTAAGCAACTAGTCTTCTCTCATTAACAAGCTAACCACAATTACTTTTACTTTTACCCAAACATTTTATTTGCTAATCTTTAGACTTCTTACTGGGGCATCCCCTATTACTTTCGAAACCTACTGCAACAATTTGGTACTTTAATATGAGCTTCACAACTTCCCAGGATTTACATTATTTCATGGTTTGTTCGGACGAGATCGGGTGTGTTCAGGGTGGTATGGCTGTAGACTCATGATCTGTTCAAACACTAACAGTTTTATTTGTAAATAGGAATGCCATAACTTGGAATCAATTATTCAAAACAGTATTATTGGTTCTGGGGTAATTGATCTCATATAACTTATTCTAGTGGGAAAAACAAATAAGAAACCAGTAAAGAAGTTAAAATTTCAAATTGAGGTTTTGTGAAAAAAATAAGTGATAAGGGTAAAGAGGGCTTTCCTTAGGAGGAAGGAAGGCATTAGGCCTGCAAAAACATGAGAAAAATGTTCCAAGCAAGTTTTGGCCAAAGTGGTCTAAATAGTTATCTTGCTACATATATTTATATGCATTCCTTCTGAATTAGAGAAACTTGCACTGCTCCCTAAATCTTATTTTGAAAACTAATTCTATCTTTTAAAAGTGTGCTTTTAAAGGCTCACTTCTGTGAGCTTTTAAATGTGCTTCATTACCTCCTTAATTGGTAATGCCTGTAAGTTTTCAAGAAGCATGCCTTAAGCAAGTATTTCATAGTACTAGCTAATTATATAAATTACATTTAACGATGGGCAAAAAATAACAGTATTTGAAAAAAATTTTTTTGTCTTATTGGATAGGCCTAAATGAACTTTCTAGAAAATAATTTGGTGATACTTTGTAGGCAAACTGGTAGACCAGTATCCCTTCAGAAGACAGGACTAAAGAGAGCACAGAATCACTGATCTGTTGTTCTAACACTGAAAGGGCTCAGAAGAGAAGATGGACATTGGTAGACAGTTTGTGTATGTGAGATGAACTGGCAAATCAGCTGTCAAGGTTGGAGAGACCCTTCTGCACCTCCACACCTCTTTGACACATTATGATATCAGCTGGGCAACAGACAATTTTAAAGTACAGGAAGATTTTAGTCATGGTTATCAGTTAATTAACAATTTTAGAATAAAGAAACATACTTTCATTTTATAAAATCAGCATTTTTGCCAAGTCTTTAGATATTAAAAAAAGACCAGGAACTTTGGCAGATGTGCTTAGAATCCTGCTGTACTTTTTAAGTCCCTGGTCCCTTATCTGTAAAATGGGTACAAAAATACTATTGTGTGAGGTTGTTTAGTCTCAGGATGAGTGATAACAGATGTGAAGCATCCAGCTCAGTAGGTGGTATATAGTAAGAACTCAAAATAGCTTTAAAAGTATTCTTCAGTATGATCTTCCAAGTATCACTAAAACTTTTCATTACTTTTTAATTACATAAATATGCCTATTAAGAAATGTGTTTACACTGTATATCTATGAAAGAGAAAACTCACAACATAAAACTTAGGGAAGAAACCAATTTCATCAAAATAATCAAATATGTAAAGTGTTACTGCATGGAAACAAGCAAAATGTTGAACAGGTGAGAAAGCTCTCAAAATATTAAATATTTAGTCAGGTCTAGATTATTATGAGAATCTTATTCAGGCTTTACTCATTTACAATTTTGACAGGAGTCAGGGTGAAATGTAACTTTCTACCACCCAAGGGAAAAATACTTTTAAACAAACACATGACAAAAACTAAGAATTAACTTTTTAACAGAAAAAAGAAACCTGTTACTATTTTGTGAAACTCCGTACAAACACATGACAAAAACTAAGAATTAACTTTTTAACAGAAAAAGGAAACCTGTTACTATTTTGTGAAACTCCGTTCGACATGTAATTGCAACAAAGCAGCCACATTCAACCTTGTTCACCTCATGGCACACAAACTAATTACTGAAACTGTGGCATACCAAGAAACATTTTTTGCAGATCTGACCAAAAACAAGTGTCATTCTGATTCATTCACACTGGACTGCTATTGGTGACTGTTGTAATTTTTAAATTTGACAATCTAAGAGAAAACAGGCTGCCCGTGACTAAATAATCAGGTATTGCATATTTTAAAAATTCATGCTGGCACACAGGTTGAAAATCCCTGCAACAGAGGAGCTAACTCAGATGGGGCTGCTGGTGTGACGTGCTATGCAGAAATTATTCCAAAGGAAAGATAAAGCCTCCTTAATTCAGTGTAAAGTTTAGTCATCAGAAATTTGGTTAGTTACGTGGGTAAGACTTTATTTCTTAAAAATAAATACTGGCCAGCCTTATTTCCTTGTTATTCTAAGTTGGCATTCTGAAAAACACTTGAGAGGAGTACTAAAACCTAATTAAGGACGTTTTCAAATAAATAATACCTTAAGAAAACTGGCTATAATGTTTCCACTAAATTCCTTATTCTGCTGCGGCTTAAGAAGCATAGAAAAGGTACAGGGAATAAGAAGCAAAATAGACAGAGGCAGTTAAGAATAGTATAGGAAATGTAGAAGCAAAAAAACTTGTATGTATGACCCATGGACATAAATTAAGGGAGGTGAATGGGGGTGGGGGGTGAAGGGAAATAAAAAGGGGGAGGAGGGAAATAAAGGGAGGAATGGGATAACTGTAATAGCATAATCAATAAAATATATTTAAAAGACAAAAAAGCATAAGTCAGAAAAATGGCCAAATCCAGTCCAAATGACATTTTAATGCTGAAAAAACACCAGAGATACAGTTTCCACAAACAGAAAAGGAAACAGGCTCAGAGTGACTTAAGTATACAAATCAGCAGGGACAAGTGAATCTCAACTCACAAACTAAGACTTTCACTGTAGAAAGAACCAATCTTGGCACCACCTCTCATTAAGGCAATGCAGGTTGCAATAAGGAGCTCAGCAGTTGCAACTCCATCCTATTCCTTAACTTGCAGCCTGCTCTGGAACTGGAAGCTAGCTCAGTAATATCTGACTGTGAAAGCATGGTCTAACACTAGAGCCAAAAAGCTACATACAGTGTTTCCTCCTTATGTGCAAGATCTTGTGGCCCAAGACTTCAATGTGTTTAACCAGGGATGCGCAGAGCCAACTCTTGGAGAGGCAGTAATTGGGAACACTGTCTCTTCACCTTAGCTTTGTAATAAAAAAAGTTAAAATAAATTCTGACCCCCTCCTGGAATTACTATTTGGGCAAGTTTTAAAAGCTCATATATCATTACCTTCAGCAAGTGTTCAGTACACACAATCCAGTGACTGAGTCTTTTTTTTTTTTTTCTGGCTACTACAGGTACAGGCTAGATCCAGCAGGCCAAGCTCTGAAACCATCATCCAAGTCTTTAAACAAGAATGAGTAAGGAAACAACTGCTGCTAATATAACATGCAAACATTAACATATGTCCAACGAACATTATTTTAGATTATTTGCCAAAAGCCTGTTCCCTGGTAAACAAGTTAATGTTGTTATACCTAAACTAGTTATACGTGTTACAGCTTGTTCCTCAAAGAGAACATTCTATAGACTTTCAAGAATAAAAACCTCCTGTATTTGTCATACAACAATGAAGAGGTCTTGCAACACTTGCTGGAGTAGTCAAACAGTGCGGTTCAGTGCAAGCAATCACAAAATTCAGTCACCAACCAAACCAGAGCTAATCTTTCAGTTCCTGTAGATTAGAAGACAATATTAATTCACTCCTTCTGCTTGTTGACTTTTGATCCCTTTATTTGTGTACTGAAAAAACAAGTGCCTCTGTGGGATCTCTATGCCCAGTATAATTATTTATCGTTTACTTTGGGCAAATATCGATAATTTTTTTGTGAAATGAGGTAGGTTCTTAAATTAAAAACAAACAACAAAAAGCCCTCCTCACACAGCATGGCTGCATTTTCCCTTACACATTCGGTGCATCCACCAGGGTCCACTTGCTGTTTTGCCTCCTCTACGTCAGGATTTAACTACTGTCCAACCAGGAAAGAAGCCAAGGGGGACTTGTGAACCAGAAAAAACTCGCCAGGATACTTCGGAAGTCGTTGCGTGCCCTCACCTTGACTGTGGGGACCAACCCTTTTCTTGCCGACGCTCTTTGGTCTAAGTTTCCAGGGACCTCAGACCTCACCCACTGGGGCCCTCCATCACCTGGCTCCCGCAGGGAAGGAGGACTTTCATGGCTAGCCTACGGGGCAAAGGCAGGAGACCTCAGTGCATCCAGACCCATTCCCAGAGGCCTGCGCCCACCCTCGCCAGCACGTCAGCTCCGGAGGTGGCCCGGCGCGGCTTCACCTGCCGCCCGCGGAAACATCGGCGCCATCCCACCCCCGCCCAGCGTCCTGGAAGTCGAAGTCCCGGGACCCAACCAGCAATGGCGCAGCCGGAAACTGGCCTCTCGACTTTCTCAGGCCGGATTCAGACTGGGGCAGACCTGTGGGCGGGGCAGGAAAGCCCGGGCTTCCGCATTCCTGCTTCCGGCCCGGTGGTGAGTGGCGGGTTGGGGTCCGAGCCCAAGGTCCTGGGCACGGTGCACGGGAGGATGGTGGGCTGCACCGGTGAGGTTTCGCCCTCGTGCCCAGTGGAGGCGGTCGCAGCACGGGAGACGCGAGGTGTGGCGGGGCCTACCCCGTGTTCCCCGGGACGGCCGCTCCGAGTCCCGCAGGGTCTGCCCTCGCCGAGGCCGACAGCGTCGGGTGAATGTGGGCCCTCAGGGACTGGTTGGCCGGATGGGCTAACGAAGGAAGACTGAACTAGGGGGAAACCCAAGGAAGCAGCGGAAGTGTCATCAGCTCCAGCTTCAGGCGCGGGTCAGGTCCGCAGACGAAGTCCGGTGAACCCCTTACGGAAACAAGAAGAGTACTATTCCTGAAAGTGTGGGAGGCACAAAGCAGGTGTTAACGCTCTTCTTTGTGTCGGTGGTTAAAACTTGGCCACAAACCAGGCCCTTCACTCCCGCTTTACCCTTTATTGCAAAGTTCTTTTGCTTATCCCTGTATTTTGCTTTAGTTAATTCATTGTTGGGCTGGAGAAGTTGAAACGGAATGATCACTGTAGGGCCTAGGTCCGACTCTGTAGGTGGGGCGTACGATTTGGGGGGATGGGAAGGTGGGCTACGATATTTAACATCTTAGGCAATTTAATGTGTTTTCAGTTGAAAAATGAGGAAACCAGAGGATATAATTAAAACCAGTCGCAGTTTTCTTGAGATGATGGAATTGTGGCTAGTTTATATTTTGTTTTGGTTATCTCTTTTGATTCTTTTATGGAGAACACGAATCGTATAATAGGGAGAGAAAAAAGAACCTTTAAAAAAGGGATGTGTTTGATTTTGTAATTATGAACTTAATCCTGTAAATGCTGTAACATCAGTGAGTTAATGTCTTTTTATATGTCAGTGAGTTATAAAATTTATAATTGTATTGCTTAAGTAAGTTACTTAGTAAAATACGTGATCTCCAGTAAGTAGAATTTTCTTAGAGGGCATTTGCAGTTGTAGTAATTCTTTTTTTCAAAGTAGGAAGAAAGAGATAGATAGTAGATGTCTACGGTGTGCCAGGCAATTCTAGGTGCCATTTATAGGTTGCATACCTACAATTTAGAAGTTTTTCACATAATTTGTATTATAATTATCCTGAAAGTTGTGACTTAAATTTTTTATTCTGTTACCTATTCTTTTCAACCCCCTCCAGCATATAGAATATAAACCTCTTGAAAGCATATAGTAGAGCTAAAGAAGAAGACAATCAACCAAGGGTCATCTGTCTGAAATTGTAATTGGCTCACTAATAATCCCAGGACAAAGTTAGAGATCACAACTCAAGCCTAAGGTACATAATTTTTTAAATCCCAGCTGAAATTATGAGTAACTGTATACAGACCCATTCCTACCACTGTATTCTAATTCTTCTCTTTGAATAGGGGCTGACACAAATGTGAAAGGTAGAAAAGCCTCTGGGGCAAAATAAAGATGACACTCAAATCCACACTATCCTCATTTGCCAGATGGCCCTCCCTTATCAACTCAAAAGGGAGCAAATGCATGGCACCTGTTACAGTTAATTTTCTCATTATTAAATATATTCTCATTTATTACATTATATCCTCAAGTAAGAGTCCTCAAAGTTGAAAGAGGACATAAAATAATATGTCACAATTTGCTTTTATCTCTTTGCATCTGAACGTGGATATTATTGTGGTTTCTTTTTTTTCCTGGAAGTGGTCATTCATTACCTCTCCTCCAAGCATTTCATGTAATCTGGCCTGTCTTTTCCACACACCAAATTTGATGATTTGTATTTTTGTTAATTAGTATTCAATAGTACTAAGGCTGTGTAAAAAAAATGGTAAATGGGTCTCCACAGTTTCCTGGAATGAATATATAAAACTCAAGATTCTTGTAAAAGTTTGCTGCTAAAATTTGTCTTGATTATGGGCAGCATGTGAGAATGCATAGTCTTTGTGACAGATTCCACATGGTTTTCACTTTTATCTTCTATACCTTCATGTCTTTTGAGTGTCACCTTTCTTGTTGTCCTAATTGAATTATTCTTTTTTAACTGAAGATATTAATCTGTTGAAACAGTACTAGTTAATACTTTTAAAAAAACAACTAATGAATGATAATGGAATTCTGAGTTAACTGATTATATGATGTAACTTTCAAAATTTGACTAACCACATATTCTTTTCTTTTGTTCTCTTCCCCCCAGCCTCCCTTTCCTAAGACTGCTACAGAGATGTTTGATATAAAGGCTTGGGCTGAGTATATTGTGGAATGGGCTGCAAAGGACCCATATGGCTTCCTTACAACAGTTATTTTGGCCCTTACTCCATTGTTTCTAGCAAGTGCTGTACTGTCCTGGAAATTGGCCAAGATGATTGAGGCCAGGGAAAAGGAGCAAAAGAAAAAACACAAACGTCAAGAAAATATTGCAAAAGCTAAACGACTAAAAAAGGACTGATGGAATGAACAGGCTCTGCCACTATAGGAAACTTACTTGGGAAATTATGCAGCTATGCAAGGACCCTCTAAGATTTCTTTTCTGGATTTATGACTACTAGTAAACAAAGTGGGAGCATATGGAAGATGCATGTTCTGACCTCTGCTATAGCAGCTTTTAAGCTTCGATATAGAAGTCTGTTGACAGTTTCTGTAAATTGGCATTTATTATACTACACATTCTTTATGACTAACTTAGTCATTTGCCATTTTGCAGCTTATGTCCTGAAACGTAAACATCCTGTGGGGGAAAAATGACTTTAGATTATGAACTCTTCACATACTGGCTCAAAATGGGGTCCTGTTCTGGATGAAGGAAACAAAGAATGTAAAAATGAGACTTGTTCAGAGGTGAACAGTGTGCTTTGGCTCAAAAGAGATCCAGTATATTAATTACATCTTTTATCCTTATTGCTTATTTCTTAGAATCATTCTAGCTTTCTCAAAGCAAAATATTATCAATGAGTACTTCAGTTTTCTGCATTTTTCTCATTTTTGCCTTTGAGATACTGGTAATCAGATATCTTGCCTTTTTAAAATCAAATTTTATAAAGAATTATCTTACTATTTTGTCTATATAGAATACCACCTACTGGATATAACAATTTTTATACTTACAAACACTGCCATTTACTTAGAGATGACTTGTTGAATAGAGTAACACTGATATAAAGCTTGCAATAAAAATTCCAAACCTTATAGTGCTTTGGAAGCAGTTTATTCTTACTTGTGCTAATTAGACATGTGAAGTAGTTAAAATGTCTTAGCTGATAATTTGCTGATTATATAGATACCACTTTCCTTTTTTATTCCATTTGTTTTCAGTGGTAGTGATGTCCTATAATTTTTATTCAAACAAGTTCATAGTGAAAATTAAAATTTCAAATTTGTTTTAAGGAACTCTTACAGAGTAAGTCATATTTCATAAGTGGTAAAAAAAAAAGGCTTCACATTTAGAAAAGTTTTGTTTGGCATAGTAGTAGTTGGGTAAAAAAGATAAATTATGCCAAAACAAGTATGTGTTATCATTAGAAATAAAATGCTAAAGGATATTTTCTTTAAGTATAACTGGAACTTTTTACTATGAAATACAGTTTTTATATATGCATAGACCAATAATTTTACTCGATATCAGTATTTAATAGCTTATTAACATTTTCTTCACCTCTGGTAATGAATTTTAAATTACAGAAACTGTCCAAGAGCTTTAATTAAAAAATGAAAGTAGATATTGAAATAAATTTGATACTTTTTTATAAGGAGGTACTGGGTTTTTTGGGGGGGGAGGGTAGTAAAATAGTTTAGATATGTTATAAGAGTTAGACTTTTCAAAGGTTTTGAATTTCATGTATAGCTAAACATTTTTGTAAAAATTGAGGGTAATGCTTCTCAAATGAGAACCCAAAGACCCCTGAGAATATTTATGGACTGGTATGAACAATACTTACTACTATTACTTAGGTGGTCAGTTCCTACTTGATGACACTGTAATCAACACATTGCAACCCTAGGCACTGAAGTCATCCAGTGTTTAGTTATGAGTTAGTAATTCAAGTGACCTGGGATGTGCTTTTTGTATTATTGAAATTACAACAAAGTTTCAAAAAAAATGCTTAGGTATAACTGTTGACCTTTATGGAACTGCAGAGACCAGTTTAAGAAAAACTTAAGGTATATCTAAAGTGCTTTCAGGTCTTTGCCATCATGCTGTTAACAAAAATAATTTATATACATATGTACCACTTTTCGCTACATTTTAAAGTACTATAGGAAAAGATATATTAATCTCAACCCCCAGTTATCTACTAAAACTGTGGTTTCATTGGTTCTGTTGTGATAATATAAAGGTATTTATTTAACTGAAATCTTTTAAAAATAATTTATTTTAAAGTCCTAACATTTCAATTTTAAATTTGTTTGGCATATACCATTTGTTGTTCAGCTTTCCCCAACATTTATGGAGCCTTTTTATACATGCGAGGTCAACAGGTTTTACAGTATTTGTGTATCTGTGTGTGTGTGGCGGGGGGATTCAAAATATATACTATTGTGAGATTTGGGATTCTTCAGAAAAATCAATCTTCTCTCATTGTAACAATCCGTCATTGAAAGAATCCCATTTACTGTTATCCAGAATACTTCTTTTAAAATTTGCCTACTTATTGATATTGAAGTTCTGAGAAGTAATACAATCAATTTTACCTTTTTTTGGCTGGTTTTGGGAGTGAAAAACAGGCTGCCTGTAACAAATATTTAACGCCTCTGCCCTCTGCAACACACACACACACAGTTTTTGTGTCAGAATTTGATCCATGTGATAGAATCCATGTGATAAACTTCAGCATGGGACTATTACTGTATCAGATGTGCAGGGCATTTTCTTTAATTTCTTGAAATTAAGCATACTGGAAATAAGTTTAGGGAGCTATGAGCTGGAAACCCTGATGTTGGAATAAATTATAGTTAAAACCTATTCTTTCCTTATGGTGAAGTAAGGGAAAGTGGCAGGGGGTACTTTACACCTCCTGTGTTTTAGATTAGAGAAAGTTTGATTCCTGTTTAGGCATGATTGTTTTTATGCTTGCAAATGGTTATAGGATCACTCTGATTAACTTCATATCTGGAATAATATAAGGACAAATTCTTTATTTCTCAAACATTAGAAGGGATTCAATGTTCAAATACCAAAAGTTTTGGAAACACAAGGTAAAACTTAGGATTTATTCCTTTGTGGTATCTTGGAGTCTTTTAACTTAATTCGACTACCATAGACTTTCCTCACCTATTTTTTTTTCTCCAAAGAACACAAAGTTTGAAAAAGCCTTGGCTACATAAATTCAGGTTTCATTTTAAATAGTGTGGTTCATGAGATGGCATTAAGAAAATATATTGGTACTGGTTCAGGGCTAATTAAGAAATTAAAATAGAGAAGGAAAGGTACGTACCATATGATTTCACTCACATGAAATGTAATGAACAATATGAACTAACAAATTAGAGACAGACTCAGCAGGCTGAGTCTGGGGGCAGAGAGGGGAGCTTGGGGGCAGGTGGAGGGGTTGAGCAAAGAAACCACAGGAGCATGAGAGTGGTGCTTGTGGGAGTTGGAGGTGGAAGAGGGTACAGGGGAGGTAAAAGGAAAATGGTGATGGCTGGATACTCAGCGTGGTGAACACAATACAGTGTGCAGAGGATGTGTTGTGGAGTTGTGCACCTGAAACCTGTATAATATTGTTAGTCAGTGTCACCCCAATCGAATAAAAAGGGAAAATATTTTTAATAATTAAAAATATTAAATGACAGCCAGAAATCTGTTAATAAAAGTAGGAATGGAAGAAAATAATAGATAATAGGGAAAAGTATTTCTTCCATTTTGTTAATTTTTAATTTTAAATATCTAAAGCATAACTATTAGGCTAGATTTACATGATTAAACTCAACAGACTGCCCTGACCAGTGTGGCTCAGTGAGTTGGGCATCATTCCACAAAGCGAAGTGTCCCCAGTTTTATTCTTGGTCAGTGTCTGGGTTGGGGGGTTGGTCCCCAGTTCAGGAGCATACAAGAGATAACTGATGTTTTCTCTCTCATATTCGTGTTTCTCCTCCCCAAGCCCTCTCTATCTATCAATTAATCAATCAATCAATCTTTAAATGCAACAGCCAACATACTTTCTATATTGGAGCTGTTTATACAATGTAGTAAGCCCATTACTGATGTAAAAATATGCTATATGCATGTATTGTAGAGGCATAAGAAATCAAAGGATTTACCTCTGAGAAAGTACTTAATATATATATAATACTCATTTAAATGAACATCTTTTGAAATTTAAAAAAATGCATAGGTTTGAAGTCTGTCTTGAAAAGATGAAAAATTTTCATTTAAATATATAAATACCCAAAATATAATTATTTAAAATATGAAATATTGTAGATAAGCTAATATGTTATTTAACACTTAATTCTGCTTTGCATGTGCCTGGTCTGAAAGCCCAGTATAATGTAAAGATCGTTAGGCCAAGATTACAGTTCAGTTTTTATGTAGGACATTTAACTCTGTTCTGATACCACCTAACAGTGCAACTGGTCATCTTAAACATGTTCACCTGCAGGAAAGCAGTGTGGATGGGTTACCATAAACTTCCCCACCTGTCAAAATCACTTTGAAAGGGCACACTCTACTAATGACAGTGGGCCAGTGCCATCTTAAAAAATACCATCTTAAAAAATACAAGATATCTTCCCACCTGGGCTTGGCTGGAATTTCTTGTTTTTTTTGTGTTGGTAAAACATCTTAAATGAAAACTAATGATATTAAAATCAACATACATTTATATGTTAAGTTATACTCTGGCAAATATTTACAAAAGGTATATAGAATACAATTAATAAACTAGTAGGTGTTTGGCAATAGAAATATTCAGGCATGTTAGAAATTTACAGTTTTTCCTGTGGTACGGGATTCAAAAACTTTTTTTTTGTAATCCCGACCTGAGGATATTTTTCATTGCTTTTAGAGAGAAAGGAAGAAAGAGAAAGGAGAGAAACATCAGTGGGAGAGAGAAGCGGTGATTGGTTGCCTTCTCGAGGATGGTGCATGCTTGGACTGGGGATTGGAACTGCATCCTAGAAATGTGTCCTGACTGGGAATCAAACCGGCAACCCTTCAGTTATGGGACGAGGCTCCAACCACCTGAGTCACACTGGCCAGGGGCAAAAATATCTTAATCTTAATTTATAATCATTCTGCCCTGCCTGGTGTAGCTCAGTGGATTGAGCATGGGTCTGTGAAGCAAAGGGTTAATGGTTTGATTCCCAGTCAGGGCACATGTCTGGGTTGCAGGCCAAGTAAGTCCCCAGTAGGGGACGCCTGAGAGGCAACCACACTTTAATGTTTCTCTCCCATTCTTTCTCCTTCCTCTCTCTAAAAATCAATAAATAAAATATTTAAAAAAATTATAATCATTCTACAAATTTTACCTACTTGTATATTGTCTAGTGACTAGTTCCTATATTGCCTCTATGGTATAATGTACTAACACTTTGTAATGATGTAAAGAGACAATGTTTAACATGATAGTAACAAGGCTGCTGAAATATTAGTATTATCAGTGTCTTTGTCATTCAACAAATATGCTGTGGTGATTACATATGATTACTTGTTTTAGTATACTTTAAAGTTGTATTTTGTGTGGTTTATTAAGCAATAAAAATTTTGACCATCTTTTAAGTAAAAATCTTAACCTATATTTTTAGGAGTTCAGTGTGAACACTTAACCAAGGATTTAAAAAATCCTTTATTCAGAGCATTAAAATTTGGGCCATTTATGCTGTACATATTTATTGTGCATTATAATGCCAAACACTCTAAAAAGAACTCTGTATTAAAATTAGTGACTAATTAGCAACAAAACTTGGTAGTATACTTCAGAAAAATGTACGACTGTTCACAACTACTTTTGTAATAATAACAGTGTTTAGTGTCACCTGTCTCCGTCTTCAACATACAAACCACTGGGACTCCACCATCAGTGGAATCGCTCTCTTAGAATTCTCTCCTATGTTCCATTTTCTCAAATTTTGAAGCCCATGGAATTCTAATTATTACACTGTTTCTCTGTTGACTGTTCTTTTAGACTTTTGTGATGGATAGTCTACTTATATTGGTCCTAATTCATGTTTTCAACACCAGCCTCAAT